GGAATTGTGATTGTGCAGCTCATTACCAGAGCCTAATTAAGGAGGTGCAATTTTTTTTACAAAAAGTACCTGAATGAAACACAAACTATTTTCACTAGAGGAGAAAGCATCCCTTGTCCTGTTTTGATAAACAGTGAGCTTGTTACCAGTTTGAACCTTGCTCATCCAATTAATAACCATACATGCAACTAAAATGCAACTACTTTTTCTTATTTTGAGGGTATGCTGTGAGGTGCCACTCTCAAAGGAAGTGGATCAAGCCACTTCAGCTCCAAGGAGACAGACTCTCAGTAGAGAACTCTGATTTTCAGCAGAGTGAATCAGTGAATTCGCTACAAAAAGTTGGAAAAATACATCATTCCTATAAGGTATTTTATATTTTATCCCCATTTTCCAGGCTTGTGATGCCCGGGGAGGGCAGTAATGGTCTTAAGGCCACACAGGAAATGTAGGCAAAACATGAGAATACTAAGCTAGTCTTCTTGCTGTTACTTCCTACAGAAGTCCACTTCATATACCAGCTCATGAGTTAATTTATTGGAATGCTGATTCACTACAAAGTGTTGAACCTAAACCAGAGGAGCCTGTTGTATTTGTATCACCAAAGCACATAGCACATAGCAACACTGGTTACTTTAGGTTTTTTCTTACATCTCTGCCAATAGAACACCCCTGAGTGAAAGCATTCCAGGTAACAACATTAAAGTAAGGTAGTATTAAAGATGCCACTTTGTTCAGTAATTCCTTCTAAATTTGTCAAATGGAGTCACTTTTAGGTGGAAGTGGAGTTTATCTAGGCCAGACCTATCTATGTTTTCTCATTGTGCAGACACATTACTATGAGAGGTACATCACAGTGAGAAGCAGACAAAACATTTTAAAAACTGCAGGTCAGTTGCTTTCTTTCACATCTCATTATCTTCCTGCAGCCTTGAGAGGGAAACCACAGCATGTGCCACTGAGTCAGTTAACTGAATCACACTAATATTTCTTCAACCAAATGTCTGCTTTCATTTCTGATTACAAGCCCAGATTGTGCTTCAACCAGAAATTCTTCTATCTGAAGGACAGTGCTCTTAAAAGATGAGTCATAGACTTTTTGTTTCAGGCTGTCAACAGCTGTACAAGACGTTTTCATGAGTATCTGGATCTCCCTTTTTATGATGAGGCAGCTAAATGACTGGCTGTGGCTCTGAAAAGCAAAGATTATGGTGAATCACAAACTGGGGGTGAGTCAGAGATGTCACACTGCTGTGAAAAAAAGGTGTTCCACTGGAATTTATACACAGGGGTGCTGTGACATATGGAGTCACTTGTCAGTTCTGCATAACTGATGGGACTGCAGCTGAGGCATGTCCAGGTATAAGAAGAGTTAAACACAGAGTGATTGGAAGGGGTCAAGAAGAGAGGGACAAGAGTGACCTGTAAGGAAAGACTGAAATAATTCAGTCTAGAAAAGGTAAAATGGACAAAGCAGACCATTGCAAAGAGGGAAACATACTTTGCTCTTTATAAGCACTGGAAAATAAATAGGAGCAAGGAGATTATATTGCAAAATGATGTTGTGCCTGTGAGGACAACATTGTCCTGACCTAGGAGGATTGTCCTGTGTCCATCACTGGAAATGTTAAGAGCAGGTTAGACAGTGTTCAGATAAAGGTTGTTCTGCCTGGAGACAAGAGACTGCACGAAAAGCACTGAAGATCCCTTGCATGGGGTTTTTCAGGATGTGTCCTTCCAGGAGCTTTCCCGATCTCCGCAGTGCGGCAGAGAATGCAGTACTCCCTGCTGCCCTGCAGAGGCTGAGGGCCCGCAGCGTTTGTTAAGTCATCTTTCAGCTCCCCATTTCTGTTTTACAATCTTTCAGTCCAGGAATGTCACTGTGAGAACAGACTGTTGTCTCTGGCTCATTCACTGCTTCTAATGCAGAGGACTTGATTGCTTACTATTTCTTGATACTTACCTGAAATAACCCCTTGCTCTTTATTAAATTAAGGTCCAAAACAATCTCAGCTTTCTGAAAAGACAAACATGACCCTCTTTTCCAAATCACCAGGAGAACAACTTGGTTGTAACCCTTCAGTTCTAGAATTGCATTGCCTTAAACTTTGACACAGTTGCCTTTGCTGCATAATCTTCAGTTGTCGTTTCCCTGGCTCTCAGTGCCCTGATGTTCCCATTGCCAGCCCCAGAATTCCCTGCACCATGGTCCCAGCTGGGAACATTACTGCATGCATAGTAGTCCCTCTGAACTAGCAATATGTATTTCCAGGGGGAAGTTGCTAGCTTCTGCTCTGTGCTGTGACAGGATTTCCCAGTTGGTGGTAGAGGAGTAGAACAGAAACAGTCACAGTGAGAAGATCTGCTCTCACCATCAGGCTTATGAAATTCTCTCTGTGACCACCTACATGGTAATATCCTTTAAAATCTACATAAGCATTTGCAGTCATGTACTCTCAGCTGTTCTGTGGTTCATTGTGTCCTTCCACAGTAACTGTTACATTACCAAGTTTGTCTGGAATCATTTAGGTGAAACATTGGTTTATAAAATAAGAGCTTATTTAATATAATATTTATTGGCTAATATTAACTAATTTTCATGCTATGAAGATTCTACTGCCAGTAAAACTAAGCTGCCATCTGCAAGAAAGTCCTTGGCAGTTTTGTTAGCCAAGGTGGTTGTTTTCTGGATGTTTGGGGACTTTTATAAGGAGTTGGGAA